TGTTCCATTTGCACAGCACAGCAAATGACAAGCCGCCAGATGGAAAAAGGGATGGAAAATATACAGGCCGTTATTAAACTGGAAGACTGAAAGGGGGGGGGGGATGTTTGCAGGAAACAGAGGCATTTATTAGAAGACCCCTAGAAAGGATTTTATTATCCTCATCTAAAACCCAGTGGAAAAAAAATGGAAAAGGGGGAAGACCTCAACTGAAAAAAATAATAACTGCACTTGAAAAATAAACAGGAAACCATAGCGGTATAGGAAGGCTTAGCTCTGTGCGTGGTCTCTCCTCCCTCCTCCTTTTACAGTGAGCAAGTTGACTAATTTACATCCTATTTGAGTGTACATGGTGCCCTGCTAGTAACATGTAACTTTAGCTTTATGACAGAACCAAAGTAACAGTCTGTTAAAAGCAGAAAATTAGAAATAAAATAAGGCAGTGCACACCCACATATCCACACATGTCTTATTTATACATCTAAAGCTTTATCGTTAACCTTGTTACAGGGATCTTCAGCGACATGCAGAGTCCTCACAAATGTTCATCATGCTCTTTTAAAAACAAAAGGAACACTGTCCATAGTACAACAACAACAACAACAACAACAACAACAAAAGTAAATGAGATTCCCAAACAGACCTACCATAAACACTGGTGCTACTGATCATTTCTTGCTGGCAGCACAAAAAAGCTGAATTGGAATTTTTTCTTTTCTTTTGCTCCTCTCCTTCTTCTCACAAGCAGGAATTCCAAAGCTTGCTTTTCATGAATGCCACTTTTCCCCTCCGCTATCAAATGTCACTTGCCTTGAAACCTCGGCCTTTTCGTCAGGTATTCATTTAACCTACATGCATATAATTAAGAGGGAAAGCAACATCAACAAAAAGGGAATCTCAGATCAGAGGAGAAGAAAGAAAAGGGGGGGGGGGAGAGACAGAAAGAGAGAGAGAGAGAGAGAGAGAGAGAAAGAGAGAAAGAGAGAGAGAGCACATGACCAGCAATACAAGTCCATGTCAATTTCACTCACTCCCATTGAAACTAACAAGAGCTCCAGGGAAGATAGTAATAGGATCAGTGGCTTGTATATACCAGTAAATTATACATCTTCCTCTCAGTTCCAAGCCAACAATACGCCCACCGTGCCATGCACCCCCCCCGCCTCCAATGAAGAGGTGCTTAAAATTTTCCTGCATCAGCTTCTCAGATACATTCACACACACCCCTCACCCTTAACTTTCCCTATCCTTATTTGCACGGATTTGCTTAAAAGTTAGTTGCTCCAATGGCACTTAAGCCGCCACACGCAACCGCTTCGCCTAGAACTTGAAAAATAAATTGAGTCGTTTCACACACACCCCGCGCCCCTCCACCTTTGAGTGAAAGTGGCTTAATTAGGAGGGGGGAGCGCAATCGATCTCTCGATCCCGAATTCTTATCCTTTCTCTCCGCACTATTGTTAGCAACGATCAGGGGGAAACCGACGTTGCGATGGTATCGCTTTACTCTCCACATCGCGCTTTAAAACAAGGGAGAAGAGAAGTCGGGGGGGGGGGGGTTGGGGGGGGGCAGACGAGAGAATAAACCCAGATTTGGCGATTTGCGATGTATCTGTAAAAGCACACGGTTTTTTTTATATATTATTATTATTATTATTATAAAGCTCGGGGAATTTAGAGCATCCGCGCGCCCGCTCGGGATACGTTGAAAATTGTATTAAAAATTTAAAGCGAACGGGCGGAGGAAAAGAAGGAGGGAGAGAAAGGGAAAACGAGTCAGAGAAGGGCTTACCTGGAGGGTCGGGCACAATCGATTCTTACGGCGCGCTGATGAATTGGGGCTCGGGTTAAAGCGAAGACGCCTCCGATTTGAAATCATTCCAAGTTTTTGAAGGGAAGACTGACCGCAGCCTCTGCCATGTTGGAATTTCAAACCCAAAACAGCTGCTTTGCAAAGAGCCACCATGCCAGCAGCTGAACGCCTGCGCAGAGCGCCGCCGAGCCAAATTCAAATCACTTTCACACTAAAGAGCCAAAGATCAGTTTGCAAAAAAAAAAAAAAGGAGGAGGAGGAAGAGGAGGGGGTTGGAGAAAGGAATATATATATATATATATATATGTATATGTATATTCCTTCCTATATTTTATATATCTATATATATAATATATATGTTTTCTTAAGTTTTATATATAAATATATATATATATATATAAAAAGAGAGAGATAGAGAGGGACGCACCAGATTCAGGAGCAAAAGAGGCTCTCAATGGCCGCGCTGCCGCTGTTGCCGCCGCGCCGCCACCGCCGCCGTGCAAGGCCCCTGGCTGCACAGGTCAGGTTACATGGTAGGGGCTGTCGCTTGCAAGGAAACATGCAAACACCGCCTGGAGGTGGCCGGGAGGTCATGGTAGAGCAGCCAGGAAGCTCGCTCTCCCCTTCTGCGCTTCCAAGAGGGCAACCGGCAACTGAGGGAGTCGGGATTCCCCGCTCCCAGCTTCGCCACCGGCTCCTGCAGAGACTTGGCGGAGCTCTGCCGCCGGGGTAGCTCCATATCCCCAGTCCCATCCCCCCCCCCCCCCCCCACAACACACAACCCACCTCCCGCGCCTGAGTAGCACAAGCGGCGGCGAGCCAGCGAGCGCCTCTGGCTTCCCCTCCCCCCCCCTTCAACCCCTCTGCGAGAAGCGGGAGCGGCGGCGGCGGCGGCGCCTTCGCTCCAGCCCCTACCGCGTCTCGGAAGCACGGACGGCTCTGCGCATCCCCGCTCTTCTCCTGGACTCACTTCGAGAGACTTTGGGAGGCCGGGAGCAGCCGTAGAACCGGGACGGCAAGAAGCGGGGGGGGGGGGGCAAAAAGAGCGCGAGCGCGAACTTGAGAGAGAAAGAGAGAGAGAGGGGCTCGCGGGCAACCCGAGCCCGGGACCTGCCCGCCGGTGGGGGCGGGAGGAAAGTCACACGGTCTCCACTCCTTTTCCACGGGGAGGATGGGGGGGGGGGGGGAGCTGGGGGGAATGTCTTTCGATCCAGGTAAGGGAACGTGCGGAGAAGGGGATGGCAAACCTGGACGCGGGCTAGCGAGCAATAGGGAGGACGAGGCGAAATGTGAATAAAATGCATGCGAGCCGCTTGCTTTTCTCGGCTACGTTTCATTTGCGCGCGCCATGGATATATATATACATTTTTTTTTTCTTGTCGTTTTCTGGGCACGGATTGACTTTTTAACGGCGCCATCCTAAACGCAAGCCTACCCCCTCTTTTATATGTAAAAAGAAAAAAGAAAGAAAGCCTGTTCCCCCTCTAAACATTTTTTTTTTTTAAAGTTGACCTCTTCCCTTAGAACCAAGCCTTAAGA